GAAGAAATATCGGTATATGTATAACTGGAATATTATATCAATATGGTTAACTATAGGTAAGTTGCCTCTTAGGCTAATATAATATTAAAATTTCTATTAACTAGATAATTACTTTATCATTTGTAATTATCCTAATATAACTGTTGGTTATAAATACTTCTTCCTTCATTGAACTAGTATCCAAAAAAATCACAACAGGTCACACTGACTCCTAGAAATAAATTGTAACCTATATTCCTGTATATATATTTACAGTATGCAGCATTTTCATTTGATTCATAGATTTATGGGAGATTTGCCATGTAATGTCCATTTAAATTCTAATATGGTAAAATATACGTAAAAAAATTGTGTTACTGTAAGTGGACTCCTGCCAGTGCTCTATTCACCATGATCCCCTAATTTGATGGAGACAGTACTGTACAAAGTACTTCAGAGGAGAGTCAAGTTGTCCTAGGTAGAGGTAAAATTGCTAGGCTGAGGATGCAAAGATAATTATGGTTGCTAGTGGCTATATACAGTTGGTCACTGCCTCTCATATAGAGCTTAGGGGAAACAAAATTGTTGAAGATTTCAATGTGGCCTTCAGCACTCAGCAATGATACAATCAACAAATCTGTACTTCTATGTTTAAGTATTCGAAACGACATACAGTACTTTCCTATCAACACTAAGAAAATTTACCTTGAAAAACCACCTCCATTGGGCCAGTACGTTATTTTTAATCTAGTCACAGTAACAGAAGCCTTAATGAGTGCATATACCATCAGAAATGTAGAAATATTTACTGACAAAGATTTATGACAAATTAATACAAAAATTAAATGTCAGATCGTTGTATGGGCCTATAACAGTTCATTTATTCTTAGTACTATAAATGGTCAGTGTTCAAACCACAAGCTGTGAGTAAGCCAGCAACTTTTAAATTACAAATTATTTAGCTAAAATTGACCAAAAATTATTTCTCACCGAATGCTTTTTTTTGTTGCTGACCCTATCACAATTAACAATCTGGAAAGTACATGATAGCAAGTAACTTTTCTTGTACACCAGACAAAAGGGTTCGGTATATCTTATTTCTGTGCACTCAATGAAACCTCACAACTAACAATTAAGGAAGAATTTCTACATAATCTACAACCTACAATCACTGACAAAACTTCTACAGTCACTGCTATTGTTCATGTATTTTTCACTAAACTGCACCCCGTGCTACTGTATGCTAACATTTATTTGCATTTTATTATTATTAGTGTTTTTGTATGTGTACATGTATATTTGTATGTGTGTGCACATGCATGCATGTATATGTTTGGGAGACATTACCCTTTTGTGAAGGTATGTGCATGTGAGAAAAAGAGAGAGAACCTATTTTGTGATTACCTATTTGTAGTTACAGAAGCAGAGCTATGCTCATAATATTCAGTCTTCAGTGTTTAGTTCATATGTGTACGTATGCGAGAGTCTGTAATTTACCTATTTATTGAAAAATAAAAAAACCTCACTTGTAATATAAACATTAGAACATGTAAATTAATTTTCTGTTAACAAACATACAGAGCCAGATCACATTTTTTGTTTATGATCATGTTAAGAAAATGTTCCTAGGAGAATCTAAAGAGAAAATATACAAACATTATCACCCTGATACCAAAATGCATGGAAATATTGATATATGAAATATTTATGGGAAAGCTGGTCTATTATCTCTCTTGGTACCTTTCACTTCAATAGCCACTCTGTCTCATACATACACCACAACTATCACAACATGTGTTCCTATTACTTCCCAAACATTTCATAGCTAACCCAAAGGAGTGTCAACAGCTCCGATGATAATGACTTGTGTAAGACTAGTGCTCAGACCAGCTCAATTTCCTAACTGTTAGTATGGACCATACATTGGCTGACGACATGGTGAACATTGAATCTTTGGTGTTTGTCACAAGATGGCTAAAAACTTGCTAATTCTCCTATTGATACTAATGGTTATTGTTTGTAATGAAGGCTGTCTACCATCTCCTTGATTGGCCACCAGTGTAGTAGCTTCATGCTAGTCTATGATGTTGTATGAATATTATCCTCAGGTAAAATTAGTAGATTAGGCTCCTGGTGTAAGCATCTTGGAGAGTTCTTCGTCTAGCAAGCAACCTTTCAGGAACTCTTCCTGAGTTAGGTTGCCATCATTGTTTTCATCCATTTTTGAGAAAATGGCTTTTGCTCGCTCTTCTGCACTGTCAGCTGGACGACTAGCAGAATTGGTGCCAAGCATGTCGTAGATGGCCTGTAGAATGAAAAAACTGTTAGTTTTTTATTTTCACCACTGATTAAGCTGCCATACATTTTTCAAAAAAATGCTATTTAACATGACAGGCAGAAATAAATGGGTGTATCTAGAAATATGATAGCCAGCAGAGTTAATGTCTAATTTTACTGAAAATTTCTTACTGTAGTAAAATATAGAATTACTGGACGACCTTATATGCATATAATTCTTTACTATGCAAGTCTTGCTTCAAAACCATTAACCCTTTCAGGGTCCGTCCCGTAGATCTACGGTTTTACGTTCAGGGTCCAAACCGTAGAGTCATGAGCTCAGCTCACTCTGATAAACTGTGAGTGGTAAATTTGGGCCTAGATATGAGAGAATACATCTATGTGGTATGTGTGCACCACATAAAACAAATCCTGCAGCACACTGTGTATAATGAGAGAAAAAAAGCTGAGACCATGATTTTCGATTAAAACAGCGACTTTGCAGTGTTTTTTCGTATGTTTTTTATAGTTGTATTTGTGATTTCTTGGTCTCATTTGATAGAATGGAAGACATATCACAGAAATAGAGATAATTTTGATTGGTGTTAGCACTGGAAATGGCTTGAAACTGAGCTCAAAGTGGCGGAAATGTTAAATTTTTGCCGATGTTCAAGAGTAAACAAACGACCTCACACGTCTTATACACGCCAGCTGGTGGGTCTAATATACATTCACAAATGTGGTGATGATATTTATACAATTATTACAATATTGCATAACAATAAATCTTCTATTTTTTGGTGTGAATAAAAATTCATTATGTGAATAAAAATTCAAAATGGAATTTATTTGTAAAGCCTCAAAACATAACTAATGAACAGAGGAAATGTTAGTTTAGTGCCAGGAATACCTACATTGTTTATTCTGGACCCTATTTTGAAATTGGAATATTTTGAACTGTGTTAAATTGGCCAAATTACCAATTTCCGGTCACTTTATTTTGTAGTTGAAATGGTTGACTTGGCGATTTCTTGTGCTCAATCGATAGAATAGAAGTAATACTAGTGAAATAGCTAAGAATTTGGTCGACTGGAATAATGTAATTGGCCTAAAATGGGAGTCAAAGTCGGCAAAATCGCCGATTCGTAAATATCGCTGACACATCAAAATTCACGAGAGCATAATTTCGTCAATTTTCCATCAAATTTCATACTTTTTGTTTTATTACCTTCACAAAAAGATTCTCTACCATTTCATAAGAAAAAATAACAATTTTTTTTTTTTTTAAATTCTTGGACACTGGGGCACCACTTCAGATTTTGGCCTTGGACCCTTAAAGGGTTAAAGTAATTTTAAAATCGAATTAATGACATGAACTTAAGTTCATGTCTTCTACCATATAAATAATAGCAAGGAGAAAGCTACAAAGTATGCAAAATGCTGTATTAAGTTACATATACTGTAAACTGTTGATAAATTGGACACATGTGCAACACTTGGGTATCTTTAACCCTTTCAGGGTCTGTCCCGTAGATCTACGGCTTTACGTTCAGGGTCCAAACCGTAGATCTACGCCATGAGCTCAGCTCACTCTGATAAACTGTGAGTGGTACATTTGGGCCTAGATATGAGAGAATACATCTATGTGGTATGTGTGCACCACATAAAACAGATCCTGCAGCACACTGTGTATAATGAGAGAAAAAAACTTAAATCATGATTTTTCGATTAAAACAGCAACTTTGCAGTGTTTTTTCGTATGTTTTTTATAGTTGTATTTGCGACTTCTTGGTCTCATTTGATAGAATGGAAGACATATTACAGAAATAGAGATGATTTTGATTGGTTTTAGCACTGGAAATGGCTTGAAACTGAGCTCAAAGTAGCGGAAATGTTAAATTTTTGCCGATATTCAAGAGTAAACAAACGACCTCACACGTCTAATATACGTCAGCTGGTGGGTCTAATATACATTCACAAATATGGTGATGATATTTATACAATTATTACAGTATTGCATAACAGTAAATCTTCTATTTTTTGGTGTGAATAAAAATTCATTATGTGAATAAAAAATCAAAATGTAATTTATTTGTAAAGCCTCAAAACATACCTAATGAACAGAGGAAATGTTAGTTTAGTGCCAGTAATGCCTACATTGTTTATTCTGGACCCTATTTTGAAATTGGAATATTTTGAACTTTGTGTTAAATTGGCCAAATTAACAATTTCCGATCACTTTATTTTGTAGTTGAAACAGTTGACTTGGCGATTTCTTGTGCTCAATCGATAGAATAGAAGTAATACTAGTGAAATAGCTAAGAATTTGGTTGATTGGAATAATGTAATTGGCCTAAAATGGGAGTCAAAGTCGGCAAAATCGCCGATTCGTAAATATCGCTGACACATCAAAATTCGCGAGAGCATAATTTCATCAATTTTCCACCAAATTTCGTACTTTTTGTTTTATTACCTTCACAAAAAGATTCTCTACGATTTCATAAGAAAAAATAATTTTTTTTTTTGAAAATTCTTGGACACTGGTGCGTGACTCCAGATTTGGGCCTTGGACCCTGAAAGGGTTAATGAGGAAACGTTTCGCCATACAGTGACTTTCAGTCCCTCGACTCAGCCTTGAGTTGAGGGACTGATTACCTCAATCTCTTATTCTTCACCATTCTCCTTTGTATAGACTGATGAAGCCACTGTGTGGAGAAACGTTTCCTCATTAAAGATACCCAAGTGTTGCACATGTGTCTAATTTATCAACTTGTTGGTTCTCTGAACCATCTACACTGAAAACTGTATTTGTATGTGTCTCAAGGCTTTACTGAATTAGAGTACAAATATGTAACACAAGTTCCACATATCACAATGGTGAAAGCAAATTAAGCCAGCCAAAGTGTGACAGAAGAGCACCAAAAATATTTATTTTTTAAACTCCATAACAGTACCCAGTACTGTATACAAGTGCCTACCTGCTCTCTCCTATCAATCCAAAATTACTGGATGCTGGCAATACTCCAGAAATTAGAATTTGACAAGAGCAGGCTTGATCAATAGCTGCTAACAATGCCAGATCAGTCAGGATGCAATGACTATGTAGGCCTGTAGGCCACTAGCAGCAATAGCTGTTTTAGCAGGCAATTGGAAAAAAAAAGTCTGGCCTCCGACTATACCTGGAGAGAGTTCCAGGGGTCAACGTCCCTGCGGCCTGGTCTGTGACCAGGCCTCATGGTGGCTCAGGGCCTGATCAACCAGGTTGTTACTGCTGGCCGCATGTAATCCAATGTACGAACCACAGCCCGGCTGGTCAGGTACTGACTTTAGGTACCTGTCCAGTGCCTGCTTGAAGATAGCCAGGGGTCTATTGGTAATCCCCCTGAAGTATGCTAGGAGGCAATTGAACAGTCTTGAGCCCCTGACACTTATTGTGTTCTCTTATCATGCTAGTGGCACCCCTACTTTTCATTGGGGGGATGTTGCACCGTCTACCTAGTCTTTTGCTTTCATAAGGAGTGATTTTCGTGTGCAAGCTTGGTACTAGTCCCTCAAGAATTTTCCAGGTGTATATAATCATGTATCTCTCCCTCCTGCATTCTAGGGAGTACAGGTTTAGGAACTTCAAGCATTCCCAGTAATTGAGGTGGTTTATCACAGTTATGTGTGCCGTGAAGGTTCTCTGTACATTTTCTAGGTCGGCAATTTCACCTGCCTTGAAAGGTGCTGTTAGTGTGCAGCAATATTCCAGCCTAGATAGAACAAGTGACCTGAAGAGTGTCATCCTGGGCTTGACATCCCTAGTTTTGAAGATTCTCATTATCCATCCTGTCATCTTTCTAGCAGATGTGATTAATACAAGGTTATGGTCCTTGACGGCAAGATCCTCTGACATGATCACCCCCAGATCTTTGACATTAGCTTTTCGCACTACTGTGTGGTTGGAATTTGTTTTATACTTCAATGAAGTTTCAATTTCCTCACGTTTCCCATATCGGAGTAATTTAAATTTCTCAACGCTGAACTTCATATTGTTTTCTGCAGCCTATTTAAAGATTTGATTGATGTCTGCCTGGAGTCTTGCAGTGTCTTTAATGGAGGACACTGTCATGCAAATTTGGATGTCATATGCAAAGGAAGACACGGTGCTGTGGCTTATATCCCTGTCTATGTCCAATATGAGGATGAGGAACAAGATGGGGGCGAGTAATGTGCCTTGTGGAACAGAGTTTTTCACCATAGCCACCTCAGACTTTACTCTGTTGACTACTACTCTTCATGTTCTATTTGTTAGGAAATTATAGATCCATCTACCGACTTTTCCTGGTATTCCTCTATCACGCATTTTGTGCGCTATTACACCATGGTCACACTTGTCAAAGGCTTTTGCAAAGTCTGTGTATATTACATCTGCATTCTGTTTGTCTTCTAGAGCATCCAGGACCTTGTCATAGTGGTCCAGTAGTTGGGACAGACAGGAGCACCTGCTCTAAACCCATGCTACCCTGGGTTGTGTAATTGATGGTGATCTTGCTTCTTAGAACCCTTTCAAAGATTTTTATGATATGGGACGTTAGCACTATCGGTCTGTAGTACGTACTTTGTTATTGGTTTACTGCCCCCTTTGTGGAGTGGGGCTATGTCTGTTGTTTTTAATAACTGTGGGATGACCCCAGTGTCCATGCTTCCTCACCACAGGATATTAAAAGCACATGATAGGGGCTTCTTGCAGTTCTTGATGAACACAGAGTTCCACGAGTCAGAGCCTGGAGCAGAGTGCATGGGCATGTCATTTGGCATCAGGATAATATCAGATAGGTGTGTGTCTACCAAATTCTCTCTCTCATAAAAAATTCAATTACGTCTTCGACTCTCAGTCTGGTTAGTGGCCCGTTGTTACAAAAAACGTGATATCTAAAAAGCACAGAGATCTCCAGTGAATACTAGAAAGGACTGCCCCTCTAGCATTCAGCCTGTTACTGGGTTTTTGTAACAAGTAGTCAGTATCCTGGTCCAATTATCGATTAG